AAAAAAAAAAAAAAAAAGAGACTTTTTCCTTTTTTTTTGAAAAACACCAGTACCTCCGAGCCTGTTTTTGCCGACCCTGAATTTCACTGCGCTCCGAGTCTGCCTAGCCTGGGTCCCACTCCATTTCTTTACGGTACTCTCAGGGGGAGGGGAAAAAAAAAGGAAAAAAAAAGAAAACTTCTCACAAAAGAAGAAAAGGAAACAACCCTCTGGCCATGATTGCGTTCTTGGAAGTGGTAGTGTGACTGTGCCCTCAGTGAGTGGAAGTGGTATTGTGAGTGTGCCCTCAGTGAGGGCATCTCAGGCCCCTGGCCAGGTTGTCAGATTCTAAAAACACACAAAAAAAACAAACACAGAAACACGTATTCGGCCATGAAAATGGCTGGATACGTTCCTTCAAGTGCCAGTGTGATGAGGGTTACAATCCTCTGACGGAACGCAGCCCCAGTGCCAGTGTGATGAGGGTTAACAATACTCTGAGGGAACACAGCCCGAGCAGATCACGGATTCAGATTGTCGGATTCCGGAAACAGAAAAAAAAGAAAGAAACCGAAACACGGATTCAGCTGTGAAAATGGCTGGATACATCAGGTTACAATCCTCTGAGGAAACACAGCCGGCGCAGATCATTGATTATGCCCTGCCTCGTTGGCAGGGGACTCATGATAAACAAAGGAGAAATTAAAAAAGAAAACATTAAGTTTCAGAATGTGACCCTCTTTGCTGTAGGATGCATTCTGTAGCACGGCCTCCTAGACTACCCTGCCCAACATCATTGCAGTACATAAGCTTTTTTTTTTCCCCCTTTTCCTTTCACGCACCGGCAAGAGGTAGTGGAAGGTAAAAGAAACAGAAATTGAGAGAAGAATATAGAAAGGAGAAAAAGAAAAAAACTAAGATTTATGGGACTCGCCGACCCTGGCTCCGACCACCGATTTCTTCGGGGACAGACCAGTACACTGTAATTTCCCGACACTGGCAGAGGTACTGGTTAAGATCATACTCGATAGCCTATTAATTGATAGCCTAGTTGATAGGGGGATCGACACCCCTAGTTGATAGGTGAGTTGATGTCCTGGCTGATAGAGGAGTTGATATCCCAAGTGATAGCCTAGTTACCAGGCCAGTTGTAGTATGAGACAGAGAGCTGAAGATCCTCCCTTCCCTTGTAGGATCTTAGCCAGTACTTGGGTGACAGCTATGCCAGCTGCACTACTTTGGACCCTGGACCAGTACCTTGCGCAGGGGGCTTTTTGTTTTCAATAAGAAAACATCCCTTGTGGATTTTTTCATATTTTTTTTAGGGGTAACATGAGGGGTTCACCTCTTCAGCCTACAGACAGGCCGCCTGCTGCGGACATACAATTCCTGGCATGAGCCCCTTAGTATGTGGTGCGGTGGAGCTTGTGGCTGCATTTAGCAGTGCTCTGTTGGTTCCTAAACTTTGAGCCATGATCCCTTGAAACCTTAATTCCTTAAACCCTTGTACCGTTGACCAACTCAGTATCCCTTCCCAGACCGGCATTCCTCCCCTCATGTAGTTGCAGCAATCAGATTCGTCATGCCGAGCTCTCGGGCAGGGTGGTCGGGGGGCCCTGCTTCCCTTGGACCAGTCTGTCTTCACAGTTCCCACTGCAGGGCATGCAGTAGTGAGTCGTCAGTTGTCGCTCTGGCAGTGCTCTTTCGTAAACTTTGGGCCATGATCCTTTGAAGAACGCAGTATCCCTTTGCAGGCCTGCATTCCTCCCCTAATGTAGTTGTAGCAATCAGATTCGTGGGGAGGCACCGATGGAGGATGTGCCATTGCAGAGACCTATGGTTTGTGGGCATGATTTTTGTGTATCTGGACCAGGTAAAGGATTCTGATAGCTTCGGCTCCAGCGGTGAGTCCCGTGCCCATCTGTTTGCTATTGTGTGGTTGATCTGCCGGTCCTGGCGAGACGCACTGTATCCCCCTTTAACTGTGTACTCCCATATGTGCATGGGTTCAGATCCAGGCCATTCCTATTCAGCCGGGTCAAAGGGGAGTTTGGCCACCGGCGTGGTTACCGTACTGTCTATCGTATACATAGTAGCCATTCTTAAGATCCCCCACCACTCTGACCTGCATCAGGACTCCCCACTCATATGTTGTGTCTAGATCCTTGAGAGCCTGGCTGCAGGCAGTCTGGGCTCATAGGCTTCTAGTTCACAGGGCCCATTGTTGTTTACCTTGGCCTTGACCGTGTAGATGACCGTCGGGAGGGGTAGATCCGTGGATTTGATTACCCAGTAGGACAGTGGGCCCTTCCCTCAGTGTGCTGCCAGGCCAGAGGGAGAGCCTGTCTCAACCGGTTAGCCTTATCTTCCATGTTCTTTACATGCCTTCGCTTCTGTTGCAGCTTGTGGTGGGTTGCCCATTCCTCTCTCACTGGATCCCACAGGTCCCCAACAGTGTAGACACCCAGTTTGGCCCAGATAAGCCAGGGCGAGTTTGTTGTCAGACTGAAGGGGAGGCCTGTTTCTTGAAGGATATTCGGGTTCCCAAAGAGGGTTTGCCTCCATATGTCATACCACCTGTTGGGTGGCAGTTTTTGCTGCGGTCCACATTGCCTCCATAGCTTGAGCTTGTACGGCCAGAGCGGATCCAGTGTTATATCCATCTTTGTCGTCGGCGCAGGGTCAGCAGTCTGCCTTTGCTTTTGGGGTGGAGGTATGGTCCAGTGGTTGTTAGTCAACAATTGGAATGGGTGCATTTTCTCTTTCTCTGTATCATTGCAATTAATGGTCTTGAAGGACCTGTAAAGCCTCTAGCCACTGGCTCTGTCAACTTATTTGTGGCAATCGTGTGTCTAGTATTTGTGTTGGAGCTACATCACATCCATCTCATGGGAATCAAGAACCCCCCCAACCCCTCTCCCTCCCCCTCCCCTGATGTGTTTTTTATTCAAACAAAACAAAAAGAACATTGACCCATCTGCAAGGTTCTCATCAAGTGCTATGGTGCTGTTTCGCCGGACATCCATCTGGGCAAAACGGGCTTTGCGTGCGACCCGTTTTGCCTGAACGGATGACATTGTGCTGTGTAACGGTGCCCTGGTACTTACTGAGAGTCGCAGCAGCATGAACAATGGGACGTTGATTTTATAGCTGGGAAACGTACTGGTGGTTTCTGCATGCTACAAAACAAACTGATGTGTTATATATTGAACAACAATGACCCGAATAACTGTACTACTGCCCACAAGCAGCCGGAGAGGGTTTGATGATTACAAAGATACTCTGATGAGCGCTGGACATGCCCCTATTGATAACAGAGACTAGAGTACCTCCAGGAGATCAAGCCATCAACAGGCAGAATAACCAAGAGTACAGTGCTAGGTGGGTATACTCACCGCGCTGAGGGGATATCAGACCTCGGCCAGGGGGAACCATGACACACTGCCTTTGTTATCTTGGGTGCGGAGGTCTTGTTTCAGAGACTGGGAATCCGGGTGAAGTCTTGCCCGTGGTGTCAGACAGGATAAGAAGAAAGAAAAAAAAAGGCCCAACGGATCCTTTTCTACTGAAATTACCATTTCAAACTCACGCGCTGATATCTTTGTGGGCGTGTTTGTTTTTGCCTTTGCAAACTCAAAATCTGCTGCGTCTGTAGTTGTTTCAAAAAACAAAAGTGTTTTTGTTTTCTTTTCAGGTTGTTGTTACAGTAGAGGTTGGATGCTGGATATGATGGCCATGTAGTTATCCAGATGATCTATATCGGTCCTTGCTCCCGGATAAGAAGCCAATCTCAACCAGGACTCAGGAGGATCAGCAGATGGGACAGCACCCTGAAGATAGCTGATGACATTTGCTACAAGCGCAAGACATGAAGGTGTTGCTCCCCACCAATAGATGGAGCCTCCCCGGTTGTGCAGTGGTGCCTGCTCCTATCAGCACCCCTAGCACCACCTGCGGTGTCTTCTGCAAAAAAAATGAAAAATAAAGAGAGACTCCATGCATATCCAAATCGTTATGGGGAGAGAAGAAGAGCAAGGAAGAGAGGGGCAGAGATGGAGAGCTGACGAGATAATAGATGAGAGATGGGGGGTGAGAGAGAAAGTGAGAAAGAGAGAAGAAGAGAGCGGCAGAGAGAGAGAGAGAGAGAGAGAGAGAGAGAGAGAGAGAGAGAGAGAGAGAGAGAGAGAGAGAGAGAGAGAGAGAGAGAGAGAGAGAGAG